AAATTTTTTTTTCGATCATGAATGTCACATCATCAATACTCATCAAAATGTTAATCATCTTGACATAAAAATTATAAAATGCATTCCGGTAGTTGCTGCGGAGGCTAAGACTTATTTATGGAAATCAATGTTAACCGGCATTCGATGTTGATTAGAGCTAATAATAAACTTGATGTTTATTAGTTTCCATAGTTGTCGTATTCAAGTAATTAATACATATTTAATTAACAGCGTAAAAAATTAACCGTTGGCGCATACTATTGTTTATAATTAATGACAGCTTGAATTAGCCATCTGAGTTTAGGTTATGATCGATACCGATGAGCTCTTTAATCACGTCTGGGCTACGGTGCGCTGCTGACTTTCAAATGTCAAGTTTAGCAGTTAATATAATTTATTCAAATCGATGTTCTTGCAATGTACATCTGTATGCTTATGTCATAGGCCTCGACGGAGCTTTGTTTCTAATGTTCAATAATTGATGAGTTCATCGAACAGAACGGAAAACCACATTCTTTCAGCGATTTGCACACTTTTTTTTTTTTTATTAATCCATTAGTTACACTTGTTTGAATAATTTGATTCATATGTCGCGTCCTTGACTTTATGCAGCTTTAAGAGTAAGAAGATTTGTTTTTTTTCAATAAATGCTTGCGAAAGATTTCCGTAACATCCGTTCCGACCGGTTCTTTACAAAGTAATCAATATCGTCATAGTTTATTGCTGAGCCACGTCATAAATCGTAGAATATTGTAAATATAAATAACTAAGTATAATGGAAGACAAAAATATTTTTGAGACTTTTTCGAAGAAAAAATCAACTATGCAGAATAGGCATCGTGTCTTCCCAGACCAATATACGACTTTAATTCAATCGAGTTGTTTAAAAGTATCGAATTAATGCTATTGATAACAAGTAAGGAAGAGGGAAGTTCGGGTGTAACCGAACATTTCATACCCTCGCAAGGTAAAGCCATATATGGGATTTTCGTACATACCAGGTGTACCGGAATGAAGTGAGCGTTAAGATACAAATGTGTTGGTAGGGAACACTTGTTGTGAATGTGTCTTAATTTTTTTTCTGTTTGGCTGGCATGATATCTGTCAAACATATTCAATAACCTTACAGTCATTGAACCAATAACATCATATTTTTCATTGTGTTGAAAATGTCAAATTTTGTACCGGAAAGTGATGATTTGCGGCAAGCATTAATTTTTTGTTTCCATTTGAAGCAAAGTGCTGCAGAGTCGCATCGATTGTCGAAGCATATGGTGATCATGCTCTATCAGAAGCAACATGCAAAATATGGTTTAAACGGTTAAGATATAATGATTTTGATGTGAGAAATGAAGAACATGGAAGACCACCAAAAAAGTTTGAAGACGCCGAATCGCAAGCAATATTGGATGAAAATGATACTTTGAGTAAAAAGCAAACAGCAGCCATGTTAAATGTTGCACAAGCAAACAATTTCAGACCGTTTGAAAGCTATGGGAAAGATCCAAAAGTGTGGAAAATGGGTGCCACATGAATTAAATGAAAGATAAATGGAAAACCGATGAAACACTTGTTAAATACAATCAGTTTTGCTTTAAATTGTCACTGGCGATGAAAAGTGGATTTATTTTAAGAATCCTAAACGGAGAAAATCATGGGTTATTCCGGGACAACCATCAACAACGACTGCAAAAACAGATCGATTCGGTAAGAAGGCACTCTTGCAACATGTTGCTACAGAGTATCACAGTTTTGTACACCTAACGGTTGTTTCCATCACCCAGAACTAATCGACTTAGATATAGGATTATATATATATAAAAAATCAGGATGAAGAGACGAGTTGACTCTCTGTCCGTCTCTGCAAGCTGTAACTTTAGTGAAAATTGAGATATCTTGATGAATCTTGAAACACATATTTCTGGACACCGTAAGACGGTTGGTATTGCAGATATGCATAATCGGACCATTGCCACGCCCACATAACGCCATTAATCGAAAACATATAAAATGTCATAACTAAGATACCCACACTGAGATACACCCCTATCGACAGTGTGAAAATGGGTCATAACCACGCCCACTCCCATATAACAGTTTTAATTAAAACTACTGAAATGCGATCACTTATTAAATAAACATGTCAGAGACGTTGAATTTTACACATAGGATGATGCAATTAAGCTTTATAGGAGCCAAAACAAAAATTTGACAATAGGCGACAGGCACCGCCCACTTTTAAGGGAAAACCCATATCTCGAGACCTGCTCGACCGATTCCAACCAAATTCGGTACGTAACGTTCTTCTGGCATTATTACAGTACGAAAATGAGTGAAATAGGATTACATCCACGCCTACTTTCTAAATAACGGAATTAATCTGATTCTCTCACTTTATAGTATGCAAATCAAGCAAACATTTATGTATCGGGATAAAACTTTGGACGAATAATGCCTTTATGACCACCTATGACCAAAAATGGGAGTAAATTATCTCACCAAGGTCCTCAACCTGTCGATATCCACTCTTCAAATACCCGATGTGTGGAAAGTTGGAAGAGTGGTCCCACTACTGAAACCTGGGAAACCCGCCAACAAAGGGGAGTCTTATCGCCCGATAACTCTCCTTTCCCCAGTAGTGAAGACACTTGAGGCCTTGTTACTCCCGTCATTCACTCACCACCTGAGCCTAGCAGATCATCAGCATGGCTTCCGTAAAGTGCACAGTACCACCACAGCACTTAGCGTCATAAACGCCCGGCCTGAAACAGAAGCCACCCTGCGAGAGGACGATCCTCGTAGCGTTGGACTTGTCAAAAGCTTTTGACACAGTCAATCACACAACGCTACTTGAGGACCTCGAACAATCAACGCTCCCTCCAGGGCTGAAGCGGTGGACTATGAACTACCTGAGCGGTCGGCATTCATCCGTACTGTTCGAAGGTCAAAGCTCCAAACTTAGGAAAATTAAACAGGGGGTTCCGCAGGGCGGTGTCCTCTTCCCACTACTGTTTAATTTTTATATTTCGAAACTCCCCCAGCCACCAGCGGGAATTTCAGTGACCTCGTACGCTAATGACTGTACGATATTGACGTCGGGAAATGTAATCGATGGCATGTGTTTAAAAGTAAACAGCTACCTCTCCGATCTTTCTCGCTTCTTCTCTGCAAGGAGCCTAACACTCTCTCCCACTAAATCCACAGCGACCATCTTCACAAATTCGACGAAGGAGTACAGACTGGACCTGAATATTTCAGTCGATGGCACAAAAATTCCGACAGTAAATAATCCTAAAATTTTAGGCGTTACTTTGGACAGTCTGTGCTCTTTCACTCCTCAGACAGTACAGAGCCGCAACAAAATCCTCAAGTCGGTTGCCGGCAGCTCTTGGGGAAAAGACAAAGAAACGTTGTTGGCAACATACAAGGCAATCGGCCGGCCGGTCCTAAATTACGCAGCCCCAATATGGTCGCCTGGATGCAGTGACACGCAGAAGAAGAAGCTACAGACCTGTCAGAACACTGCACTCTGAACTATCACGGGATGCCTCTTGATGTCTCCAATCGAACACCTACATAGTGAGGCCCGTATGCTTCCGGTTAAGGAACACAACGAACTCCTCTCCAAGCAGTTTCTACTGGGGTGTTTTCGTAGAAACCACCCCTGTAGTCGCCTGACTGTAGTGGAGCCGCCTCCTAGGAACATCAAGAGGTCTTTCCTTGACTACGTCGACGACATTAGACAGTACGCCGACCGGACTTTGGACGCAACGAACTTCAGACAGGAACTGACCGCCATTCACAGTGGAGCCATCAACACCTTCACAGACTCCCTCTCAGTGAATGGCGTAATAGGAGTCAAACCACCACCCATTGCAGACATAGAGCTCGAGTTGCCTCGCGAAACCAGAGTGACCCTCGCGCAACTTCGTTCCGGATACTGTAGCAGGTTAAACTCCTACTTATCCAGAATTGACCCCGACATACTAAACACATGTCCTGCGTGCAATGAGTCTCTGCATGACACTAACCACCTCTTTGCATGCCCAACAAACCCCACCCATCTAACACCCTTCTCCCTATGGTCCGACCCCGTCGAAACAGCTCGTTTCCTGGGCCTCCCGTAAGATGACCTCGACGACAACGAATCTCGAACTTATCACCCAAACGATGACTAGGTAACCGTTACAACAACAACAACAACCAAAAATTTTCCAAATCGAACCAAAACTGTACAAGCTCCTAGGTGCCGAATATATGGACCTCAGTACATACATATGTATATACTTTTTACCGGAAATATCGGTCAATGTATGAGATTTTTAATTGAAATTCAGAGAGGATCCTTTCATTTGTATTTAAAAAATGGGTTGATACTTCGCTTAGCCTTCATATATCTTAATATTTTGAACTTTCGGGTGACTTTATACCGCATATATCGGCCAATATGTGAGTTATCTCAATGAAAACTAGAGATCGTGTTTTAATCATAATAAAGTATCGTTGCGTCTAAAATGGATAAAATTAGGCGAAAACTAACTAATATCAGGATTTTCAAACATTCGACTCACTTTACTCTATTTGATTGGTGATAGTATGTGAGGTACTTTAATGAAACCCCAGGAGCATTTTATAATCCTATGGCATGTTAGTTGTATGTATTGAAGTATTGGCAAAAATTGATAAAATCGAGTCAATACTACCCTTTACTTCCATATACTACTTTTAATTATTTTCGTTATTTCAACAAGTTTTATGCCGTATATGTCGATCTGTGAGTATTATTTATATATTGTATAAAATTGCTTCCAAATTTGTTCTCGAGTATCTCTGAGCAATTTCAAAATTAACGCAAGCACGTGCTCTTTTCTCTATCCACAATATACCCCATAAAATGATTTGCGTTTTTTCACCTTTATTTTAACCAATTAGGTTGGTAAAAACGTGTGATATTTTAGTGAAATTAGGTGGACAAGCTTCAATATAAGTCAAGAAGATACCAAATTTGATTGTACTTTATTAACATTTCATCGAATAATGGATGTTTAATTTTTTCGCAAAATTTTTTTATATAAAGTTTAGCCAGCACCTGAAAGAATTTCTCCGGTTGATTGATTCTTGCAAGTTGCGGGAGTATAAAATGTTAGCTCTTATCTCCTTCTTAATTGTTTTATAGGTGTATTATTTATGTATTCAAACTTAACGAAGTCTATTCCAAACTTCTACTGTAATACAAAGTATGAACAACTATTTACAATTACTATACTATTACAATTAGTTATGAAAATTTGCTCGGATAAAAATTTAGTGTAAATTAACTAACGAACATTCTACAATTTGCTAGAGCTTCGCTTAGCCAAAGGACCATTACGATTAATGAAATCGTTGATTGGTCCAATAATACGCTCTGGATGATTCATGTGCACATGGTGCGAGCCATCGACCTCAAAATATTCAAAACTTGGTTTCGTTTGCAATATGGCTAATACCTCATCATAATACTTTTTATCTTCGAAATAACTGGATTGTCGTGCTTTAATAAACAAATAGGGGCACTCAATGCGTTTAGCCATTTCTACGCAAATTTCCTGTGTACCAACCACATAATTGTAGAACTTTAAACGACGATCGCGACAAAAGAAATATTTCTCAGGATATTTTTCCGATTTTTGTATGCTACGCGCTAACATATGTTTACAGAGATCTTTGTTGATGGAATGGAATGTTCCAATAAAAATGCGTTCAATGAGTTCGTCATATGAATAGCTTGGTGGCTCCTCATTCGATTGGTTGCGTTCATCCTCTTTTATAAAACCATCCATTCGCGTTTCCATGCTACGTACAACACTGGCGGGTAGACGTTGATGTGGTTTCAATGCATCCAGACCAATAACCATGTCAACTTTATCGTGGAAAATCGCAGCAAATACAAAAGCAATAATGGAGCTCATGGAATGTCCGATTATGGAGACCTTTTTCCAATTGTATTGTTTCATTATATTTAGTATAACGTACAAATTGTCAATGGTGTTGTAGTAGCATCCATTCGGAAGGCGTGATGAAAGTCCATGTCCGGGCAGGTCTATGGAGAGGAAGGGAACATCTGGCGACAAAAGAGGTACTAATAAATCAAAGGTGCCAGCGTTATCTTGCCATCCATGTAGCCCAAGTATAGGCTGAACATCTTGAGGACCATACCATTTACCGGATATATGACCCCAAGGCATGGGGATACTAACTTCAGCAAACTAGAGTTAAGATACACGATTAATAGTCAAATTTTCGAAAATGTTTAACAAAAGTACTTACCTTACGAGTAGGTGGCTCATCCGTTAAATCACCTGCGTGACGATAACGCCTGTTTCCACCTTTTTTTAAATCCATACCTTTTTCAGAATCTATTTTGGATTAAATAAATGTAGACTTTATTTTAAAATTGGATATACTTTTTAGTGGCGTAAAGTAATTTACTTGGTATTAGGAACTAATATTCATATCTGTATTACCAATAAAGTAATTAACTGTGTTAGTATGATTAATCTGTAAATATAGGGGTGCAGATATACATACATATGTATGTAAGTAATTGAACTTTGATTTGATTTTTTTGATATGACGAATACAGTTGGCTAAGTTATAAAACAAAAAAGTAATACTATATACGAAAATATTCGATTTCAGTGAAGGATTTAGTGACCGGAAATATAACTGAAGCTTGTTATTAATTTCATCCTTTTTAAATTATCAATAATAAATTCAACATACAATATTAAATCAACTTATAAATTGTTTAACAAGTTTCGCAATTTACCTTCAACCTTCGACACTATAAGTAAGCGTCCTATTCGCTTGATAATTGTATTATATTTATTTCACAAGTTCAATCCTATATGAGTTAATATTTAACTAGAGTAGTTATGAATGAACTTCTACCGCATATGATAAGAAACAAATAGTTGGTGTGTTTGTATTATGCTACTGCTGTCAAAATTTATTCTCATTTATAAATATTGGCAGCACTAAGTTGCAGCATACTGATTTAAAATGACGCCGTCGAATACTTTTCTTAATTTTAGTTTGAATTTTATAACAAAGTATACCAATATCGTAATAACTTTTTTTTTCAGAGTTCATAGTTCAGAGTTGATATGCGAATTTCCTAAATAAATATAATGTTCATTACATTTATCTCAGTTTGGGTATAGTGTATTCACACTAAAACTTCGTTACGACTTCTAAGGGTTAACTGAGTGAACCATGTAAGCTGGCAACATCACGAATTAAACCATATGACAATTGACGTTGATCCAACAACAAAATTATGTTTATTCTAAAATTTGGATAACTGGTGATAGTACTGAAATTTTTAAATTGCCAAGTTTTTTTAAAGTATTTTTATATTAAATAAAAAAGGTGTCTCAAAGTTGTAAATGAACGTAAGTTGAAACGTTGTTAAGTGTGAAAAATTAAAAGGGCACGAAATTGCTGAAGTGTGGCGAAAGTAAAATTTTTTCGTGCGTTTGTTTTTTTGAGATAGTGTGCAAATTGTTACGTAGATTTACTATATTTTAAATGTTATTTAAGACATAAAAGTAAAAAACTAGGTATTTAAGTGTTCATAAGATTTATACAGGTTACAAAGTTGCATCGCGAGTTTTTCATTGATTTTTTTTTTGCTGAACTCCATTAAGACTGATTAACATTAAGTAATAAATATTTAGCCACAACGCATTAGAAATTGTGAGAAATAGGGAAAATCCATGCGTCATCATTAGTTTTTGGCTAGATAGTTAAAGTACATACAAACTTTACAATATACATATAAGTGTACCCTTTCTGCAATCATGCTTACAGCCTACAGGTTGCAGTTTTGCATTGCAAAAATTTAGAAGCGGTGTAAATAGACGTATATTATTTACCAATTGTAAATGCTTACATATTCTTTTTCACCGCAATGAGGCCTAGAGGTTGCAGTTGTGCTTAGCAAAGAGAGGTATAAATAGATTCTTGATGAATTCTAAATGCATTTTGCGGCATATCAGGAACATATAAAGGGTACAAAACATTATGCGATAATATACAACCAGCAAAATTACAAATAATTGATCTAAAAAAATGCTCCAGTATATTATTTCTATATATGAGTTAGTCACAAAGAATCTTAGGCCAAGTGTCGTATAAAGACCTCATTTCAATACAAATGTATGTATCTGTGATTATACAAACAATCACAAATGTGAAATAAAAAGTATTTTTTCAGATTAAAAACGTGTTATCATATAAAAGCGATTGCATATTATAGCCTACAACAGAGTATTTTTAAATCAGCGTTTAATATTTTCTCAATTAAAATATACATACATGTGTGCCGGCGCTATAATAGTATTTGCGTTAATGTAAAAAAATTTAGGATTTGTATGATAATAGGTACTCGCGTTGAAAGGCAATTAACTAGTTGTTTGGACTGTCCACGCCTGCAAAAAAAAATTTATTGCTTGTTGTGTTTTATTTTGTAAATACGTTTAATTTAATGTGTTTTTTATGCAATTGACTTTTCACAGCTCTTAGCTGCTTAGCACAATAAGTATATTAGTAATAGTTTGACGCAACAAGTGAGCGGTTTATAATAGTGTGTGTTCGAAGCATTGAACTTTCGAGCTATGAGCACATCGTTTCTTAGCAAATTTAATAAAAACTTAAAAAGTTCTTCGTATATATATGTAGTATTTCCTTTAATTTTTAGTTGGAGTGCAGGTCCAAAAATCTTTACAAATAATATACAAATATATAGTCATATAAAATGCAAAAGAACATATCATCAAGTAATTCGAAATTAAGCAGAGTACATATCTATGTATATGTATTTACAAAGTTCAGTTCTACTATCAGATAAAACTAAGTTATAACCAAAGTTCAATATAACGCATGATTTTTGCTATCCGATTTTTTGGATTTTAGGCGACGATATACAGTGTGTTAAAAATTCCGAATTATTATGAATAGTGTTTCGATTCCAACAATAACCAATCTTCGTAATAACCTTTTACAAGTGTGTATCTATGTGCGACGACGATCCTAGGAATTCGTGCTCTCTGAACGAAAATCAAAAAGGGGATCTTAATATAGACAAGATTTAAGAGTACAAATCGAACGTTTTTAGCTTTGCATACATTTTTCGCAAAATGGCAGACTTCAAAGTTTAAGTTTTGACCGAAAATATAAAGAGAAAATTGTTTATACAAAAAATAATTTGAAAAAATAATGAAAACATCGTACGCAGTTAACTAGATAATGTTACTGTAAAGCTACAGATAAATTTTAAAGTGGTTGCGGGCAACCTTAAGATCTCTGTTGTGGAAATTTTTCAGTGAATACAAGAAAATAAATTTAATTAAAATTTTAAAATTTTTCCTTGAAACTTTGGACAAATGTATTTGAAAAAAAACAAAAATTCATCAAGTAAAGCGAGAGAATAACCATTTACATGACACATACAATGTGTGTTCCCACAAATTATTTTTTGTATAAAAAATTTTAGCTTCTAATAATTATATCCTTCTTCCAGTATATCCATTCGCTGAGACTAATTAACAGATTGTTGTTGTATTTGTAAGGAGATATAGTTTTGGGAAGTGCTGTTGAAGTTACAGTTAAAGGCCGGCGCCGGATTACAGTTTACTTAAAAGACTGTTTATATTTGTTCTACGGAGTGGGTTTTTGTTGTAGTCTCAGTTAGACTTTGCTTTGCTATAATAACAGTTGCTATCGCAATTCTTAATGGACGATTATTTATTCTTCTCACACGAATAAAACGGCGTCATCACAAGGCACTTATTATACGATAATCGATTTTAGAACTACATTATAAGGTTCACATATATAAATACATATTTAAGTATACAATGAGTATATTGTATATATTGAGAGTTTGATTAGGGTTTTTAATGCTTTTACTACTGTTGTATTTCAAACTTTGTATTCAAGTGATGTATTACGGTTTCTTTCGAATTTTACTTTTTCATTTCCTATCGGTGAAATTAGTATCGAGGGAACTTTATTGCTTGAACTAATTTAGTAAACATTTTATGCTGTACAATTTAGTAATTCTTGTTAAATTGTTGCGTTTGGTTGTGCAGAGATCGCTGGTTAGTTTTATTAGATTTAAGGATTTAAAATAATAAATAAATAGTTTAGTAATTTTGTATAATTGAATTCTAAAATTAATTTAATCAATAAAAAGCGAGAACTTGCCATATTCTTTGTTTATTAACATAGTTTAAAGCATATCAAATATTATAGAAATTCTTCTTTCAAAATTTTGCAGCAAAATAAAATTCGAAGTAAGACAGCGAGCAGTAAATGAGTCCAATCATGACTTTACTTGCGGATATTAAAAAGTTAAGACTGATACACTTATGTATTGCCATCACTTTCTTCATATCGGGTTTGGTAATCAATTTGGTGCAGCTAATACTTCACTTGACATTGAAGCCATTCAATGTTGTGCTCTTTAGACGCATCATGTTCTATCTCTGCTATTCGCTAAACTCACGTAAGTAATATCTGCAATATCTGTGCACATTAAATCATTTTAAATAAATTACTTATTTATGAAACTTCCTTCAGAGCTTCTATTTGTAGCCGAGTGGTACTCGAATAGCAAACTACATGTTTATATAGATCCAGATGACTTAGAGAATTACTGTGGCAAGGAACATGTTTTGTTAATGATGAATCATACATATGAAATTGACTGGCTAGCCGGCTGGATGTTTACGGAGAAAAATCGTGTTTTGGGTAATTGCAAAGCATACGCAAAGAAAGCTATTTCTTATGTACCCGCAATCGGTTGGGCTTGGTATTTTGCGGAATTTGTATTCTTAGAACGTTCCTACGATAAGGATAAAGAAATAATTGCGCGTCAATTGAAGGAGGTGTTTGCATATCCAGATCCTGTATGGTTGTTGCTAAATGCCGAAGGTACACGCTTCACACCAAAAAAGCACGAGGCCTCCGTTAAATTCGCCCAAGAGCGTGGTATGACCGTACTGAAACATCATTTAATACCGCGCACCAAAGGTTTCATTGCTAGCTTACCCACGCTACGTGGCCGCTGTCCAGCCATTTACGATGTAAATTTGGCCTTCAAAAATGACGCGAAGGTTTGTTAACTGTATTAACTAATGTTTTTCGCCTTGCTTGTCTTTCAAAGCATAATTAACAACTAACTTCAACAATTTCCTTAGCACCCACCGACTATTTCTACGATATTAAATGGCTACCCAATAGAGGGCTACATGTTTGTCCGTCGTATCCCACTCGAGAATGTACCTGAAGATGAGACAGCAGCTGCGGAGTGGCTGCAAAATTTGTTCCGCGAGAAGGATCGTATTATCGATAGCTTCCATACAACAGGCAGTTTCTTTGAAACATCCGGATTTAAGGAAGTGCCAGTAAAGCATTTTAAATATCGGCCATATAATCTACTCAATTTTGCACTGTGGTCATTATTTTCCATCTCATTAATACTATACTATCTAGTGTCTTCATTTTTGGCACAAAATTGGATTGGTCTTTCCATTGCCGTCGGCATACTGTTAGCAAGTAAGTTAACTGCTTATAATTTACATTGCAAAATGTCTTATACGTTTGGCTCTCTTGTATCGTTCTAGTCTACGTAATGATGGTGAAGTCAATCAATATGTCAAAAATCAGTAAAGCTTCCTCATATGGCTCGGAAACATCGAAATCGAAGTAATACATACATATGTCAAGCATATAGTTGTATGAGACTTGCGTGCGACCATCCATAACAAATTTTATCAATACGCAGAAGTGTAGACCGTAAAACAATCGTACAAATGACGAAATTGTAGCATAAATAGTCATAAATGTAATTCAACTGTCATGTTCGTTAGTAGAACGGCAATCATTTAGTTTTTATTTCATCAAACTAAATATCAGCGAACAATTAATGTATATTTGTGATACACTTGCGAAAATATATTTACATAAATATATAGGCACAAATTTACATTTGAATGTGTTTAAAACAAAGTGAGTGAAGAACACATTGTAATTATTAAATTAAAACAATTTTATTGGATTATACTAAATTAGCACTGTCTGTGGAATATGTTAGGCCAACAGTGGTCTAAATTAAATGAATTGTAAGTGTAATTGTACAACTACCTAGCATTCCAATGTCAGTAATATGGTTCAGCTTCGAATGAGAATTTATATGTCTTCTTGAAAATGTTCCCACATAATCACAAAACAGAATTAAACCACCTATTAATTGTAATAATAAGATATTTACGATTGTAAAACAGCCCTAGAGCATGAGATTTAAGAAAAAAACTTCCTTTAGTCTTAAATGTAAACCAAAACAGAAGTTTAAATGGAGATAATTATTGTAACCTGAAATAAGACGAACAGAAGTTTTACTAACTTGAAGTAAGTATGCAAATAAAATCTGTTAAAAAATATATTGTTTATGTGGTGCATGTTTGTTTTACAATTATTATTATTTTTTACTCATGGGCAGCTTTAACCAAATTCGCACTTTAAACCCAATATTAAATTGTTTTACTGTTATTAATTTTTTTTATTTATAAACTTTTTTTCAATTCAATAATTTTTTTTTATTTATAAACTTTTTTTATTCCAATATTTCGCTATTTTCTATTTTAATATTTATTTAAATTTTTTATATATTTTTTGTTCTGGCAGCTATAACCAAATTCGCTCACTTCAAACCTTATATTAAATGTTTTTCCTTTTTTTATAATTTTTATTTTCATCTTTTTTATTTGCTTTTTATTTATATATTTTTTTTATATTTGTTTTTTATATTTTTATTATCATTATATATTAAAGCAGGCAAAGTTCAGGTTTCAAACTTGTCAATATAAATGGCTTCATTTACCTTATTATCAATAGAAGCAGAAATATATGAAGAAAGCAATGTTATATTTCTCATAATTTTTTTTTTTTGTTATATTTAAAGCGGTATCTGAAAAGACAGCTGTGAAAATGCACTAATTTAGATATTACAAAAGAAAATCAAGTAGCCTTCCAGGTTTAGTACATAAATTAAATTCAAAGTGAATTCCGAAAAGCTGTTTATTAGTAAAATTAAATGAACCATAGAAAATTATGTGAATTAAGCTTGAAAACTACCCACAGAATATGGAATTTAAGTACACTATTGAACTGGCTTAAAAAATTAATTCCATAAGAAGTTAATTACTATGAGTTATTTAAATAGGACCACCGCAAGTAAATATAGTACATATATGGAATGAATTTATCAATTAAATGTTTTAAAAATTAATATATAGAAAATTTAAATGTATGTATGTGTTTATGTGAATACTTCTACAAATCGAGTATAGAAAAAACCATTGAATTATTAAAAATTTCATTTTGCTTAGTAATTACACTCATATAGTTCGAATTCTGTCTAAAGTTTAGAAAAATTATGACAATACTGCTTAAATAATACAAGTTGTGAATTTATGAAGTGTATCTATCAAATATCAATTTATGATTTTTTATCTACATCATATCTATAGTCATTAATTACTAATAAAAGGGACTAAAGAAAGTACGGAATACATTCATACATACAGACAGGAAATTTGAGCTACACTTGTGTTGGTATATCTGGTAATTTACTAGCAAAAATTTGCTGCTTTTGATGGGAAGTACACTACTGTTTGTAACAAGATTTGATATAAAAACTATTTTTTATTATATAAACCAATTTAGAATGTTATTGTTATAGGAACATGTCGTTAGAGGTTAGGCTTATATTAAAAATAGACTTTATGGGTAAAATTTTATGTACGAATAAATTTTATAGTAATATATTAGAAAAGTACACGAATAATATTATCTGTTTTTATTATGTACATATATAAATGTCTACAAAAATTATATTAAAATTGTATTGAAGTACTTGTTTTACAAACTGTAAACGATTGTTTCATTATGCTAGAGTGGTTTTTATGGAGTCTGCTTATCTAAAAACTAACATTTTCAGTTATTGGGAGAATTTTCGTGTGGATATAGACCTAGCTGACCATTCGTCCCGGTTTGGGCGGGACAGTCCGGATTCCGAGTTAAGCGTCCCGTTCGTTCCAGGCTTAGAAATTCAAAAAAAACGAATGAATTGAATAAAATTGTGTTTCTCTCTCACCTATTATATGTCGCGATTTTCAGTGAATTATAATATGGAAAAAATCAATGACTAAAAATAACCGTCCCGGATTTTGCCAGGACAAATGTGGTTACCTAAATATAGAAGTATAACATTAGGGGCGAATTGTTATCTCATTCAAATGAAAGAACTTTCGTCTGATGTTAAATTTCTTGATGCTATTAGGTCAAATATATTTAAATAGCATAGTGGCTAGTTAATAACTGAAGCTGCGAAATTAATTCTTTATAATCTTTATATGCCTCGGTACAATTGTATTAAACAGTAAATTCAAATTAAATTCATTTGTGTGTTAATAGTTTTAAATCAAAAATGCAATAATTATTTCCTAGAAACTCCGTTACAGTTTGAATATATACTATGTATGTATTTGTTACAACGAACACAATAATTGTATGGAAGGAGCAAAAACAATTGAACCACACTGCATAAGCGGCGGATACAGTGCACTTTGATGGGTAAATTCTATTTATAAATTAATAATATGCATAAATGTAAGTATATATTTGAAAATAGCTACACACATTTATGTACTGAGCTAATCAATCAATTAACGCACAATTGACTATAATCAGTGGGGAAAAGCATTTCATGAATTTAAAAGTAACCAAGGCATTGGATATTTATAAAAACACAATCAGCTGTTTGCAGTGAATTCTTTCATTGCCATATCTGAGTTTTTATTAATTCGAATAAATGTATTAATTACTTTCACTTTTTATATTTAATAAAATATGCACATAAATATGCACACAAAAAATAATAAATGAATGACAGGAAATATAGCCATTACTAAAATACATTCGATTTTAATTTTCATAAATCGTTAGATAACAGACCATTTTATTGTCAAACTCTGTTGCCATTTTGACACGAACGAAAGTCAATTGCCAAAAATCAGCTGGGATATAAGAAGACGCACTATTACATAGCTAGTATATAATTATTGTTATTGTTTTATTTAACAAATTCGTTCTCAACATTTAGGTAACTTATCACGTTGTGTTGAACATACATATTTATATTATTGATAAACATTTTTACTGCTTCTATAGACTACCACGTTTTCTTAAGGTACTTCTGTTATTAGAAGTGATTATTATTTGGCTTTGCGTTTTAGCCAATCGATATCTTTGACTTATTGTACACATGCATATAATCATATGTATGCTTGTATGCGCTTTTATAAAACAACAATTTATTGAAAAAAAAAGGTATATGGTAAATTATATTATCTTCTCGAGTTATAAAATCAATTTTTAATGATTGAGATTAGTGTGATAAAGTGAGTGTTAGCTTAAAACTTGAAAATAATATTTCAACAACATTCATTTCGAAGTTACCAGGCGCCTATTGCACAACCCTCATCATTACACCCGTATTGTATTTTTTGTATATTGTGGTAGCATATTTACTTACTTATGTATATGCGCATAGTTTGAAGTGACCTTTGGAACAAATTTTTGAAGATTGTGCGGGTACTGGTATTGCACCAAAGTGAGCTATTCAAGCCACACTTAAACCAAACTGAGTTACTACCTGGTCTCAATTAATGTAAATGATATTAACGAAAGCATTCGCTATCAGCTGCAATTACGTCTTCATACCTGTTTGGAGAGATATTTCAGTCTTTCTTTAGCGATTGTTGTGATCGGTGGTGTATTGATCGCCAAGGCGTAAATATATTTAAAATATAACAAGTAAATATAATTTTTAACATTAATCAAATAAATATATGTGTATATATTATATTGTAAAAGTGAAAATCCATTGTACGTAGACATTTAGTAGTGGATCACTATTTGTTTTCCTTTCGTTTATACTTCCAACTGAGTTGGGAAAAACAACACCGCAACAATTTGCTCGCACATATGCAAATTTTTTCAATTTAGTATACAAAAAACAAATAATTTTGGGCATGAACCACAGTAATATTGTTTTTCTTTTGATATTTGATTAGCTTTTTAGCACAACACGTTAATCATGATTTCGTTAGCGGAGTTGAAAAAGCTGACAATTGTGCATTTAGGCATAGCCGTCACCTTCTTCATATCGGGTTTGGTGATAAATTTGGTGCAGCTAATATTGCATATCACTTTGAAACCCTTCAACGTCGTGCTTTTCAGACACATCATGTACTATCTCTGTTATTCTCTGTACTCGCGTGAGTTGAAATGCAATATGAACTTAATTTATCATCACTTATTAACGTTTCCTTTGTAATTTTAGAGTTGATATTCATTGCCGAATGGTATTCAAATAGTACTCTACATTTATACATGGATCCAGAAGAGTTAGAAAAATTCAGTGGAAAGGAACATGCTATGATTATTCAGAATCATTCATATGAAATTGATTGGCTATGCGGTTGGATGTTCGCCGACAAAGTACAATGTTTGGGCAATTGCAAAGCTTATGCAAAGAAAGCTATTTCTTATGTGCCTGTAATGGGTTGGGCATGGAAATTTGCTGAATTTGTATTTTTGGAACGTTCGTACGATAAGGACATTGAGATAATTGCACGTCAATTAAAAGAGATCTTTGCTTATCCAGACCCCACATGGCTATTGCTCAATGCTGAGGGTACACGTTTCACACCAAAGAAGCACGAAGCTTCCGTTAAGTTTGCGGAGGAGCGTGGTTTACCCGTTTTGAAACACCATTTGATACCACGTACAAAAGGTTTTACAACAAGCCTACCGAGCATGCGTGGTCGCTGTCCCGCCATTTATTGCACTACTTTGGCTTTCAGAAAGGATGCCAAGGTGCGTATTACACTATTTTACATAATTATTATGTTTAATTATAATACTATAAATTTACAATATGTATGTTAAATCCTATACAGAATGCACCGACTATTTCCACTTTGCTCAACGGTTACTCGGTCGAAGGCCATTTGTATGCACGTCGTATACCAGTAGACAGTGTGCCAGAAAATGAAAAGGAGGCGGCTGAGTGGTTACAAAATGTGTATCGCGAGAAGGATCGTTTGGTCGACAGCTTCCACACAACAGGCAGTTTCTTTGAAACATCTGGCTTTAAGGCGGTACCCGTAACTGTTTTGAAATATCGTCCATGCAGTTTAATCAACTTTGCCGTCTGGGCTGTTTTCTCCATATCGCTTATACTCTACTATTTGATTTTTTCAATTTTATCACAAAATTGGATCGGTCTTTCGATTGCTGTGGGCATACTTGGGGCATGTAAGTGCATATCGTTGTAATTATATTTTCTCATACTAACTTATTTGTTCGCATTTTTCAGTCTACATACTAATGGTTAAATCAATCAATATGTCGAAAATCAGCAAAGCTTCATCCTACGGTTCCGAATCGAAAACGGATGCAAAGACGAAGTAATTGCTCTGAGCTTGCATGCTAATACATACATACATACATATGTACTAGTGCATCTCTGCGAGCGACAATTACAAATTTTATAAACATGAGAACGTATGTATATAGCCATAAATTAACTTTCATAATACGAGTATGAGCATTGTGTTTGCTTCAATAATTTGATGAGTAAAAGGGGCAAAGTTCGACAGAATTTTTAATTCGTATTCCCCATTACCTGCACTACATGTAAAAGTATACATATATACATGTACTTATTAGTAACATTAGTGTACAGCCTATCTTCAATTATTTAACATAGTAGGACGATATTTCGATCATAAATAATTATTACTGACCATGAAACAGCATGAATTGGTTGTTTGTAGACTTTAAGCCATTTGACAATGGCCGTCAATATTACGATTTATACTGTGGTTGCCGAAAATAATGTTAAAAAAACCTTAACATTTATATAGCTTTAGAAATCGAGCAATAATGTATAATTGACTATATTTACACTTGCGCATAATATTGCATATAATTAGAAAAGCACATATTTATTAATTTTTTAAACTGTAGCATGATATTGAAATAAAGCGTAAGCATACGCATTTTAAGGTTAAACCTAATTGTGATCAATTTTGGGTTTTATTGGATTTAGAAAAAAAATATAAAAATACATATTAATTTATAATTTGTTTAAATTTTGTGCCAATTGTGCGGGTTCTATGCTCAATGAAAATTTGATATGCCATACTATATTACATTTGGCCGAATTAATTAATAATTCATAAAATGCTAAATCTCTTTTTGCATGATTTCTCTAATTATTAAGTAAAATAGTATGCTTTGGAAAGAAGCTTGTTGAAAAAAAATTACACATTGAAAACTAAAAAAGTTGGCTTATAACAACAATTTGCATTTTAAGTCTGGCTTGTACAGAATCTTCCAAAAATTTTGTGCCAGTTATATAGGCAATTTTACTCATTTATCGATAATTTACTTTTTGATTTTTCGCTGTATACTTTAATTGATATACATACATATTAAAAATTTATAAATGGAACGATTCAAAGAATTATTCTTAACTTATACATATTGTACTCCTTACAACCATTAATGATATTCGCAATAAAAATATGAAGAAATTTCGGTTTTAAAAATAAATTTTCTTATTGTTTCAATGTATGTATGTATATTATACCTATAATGGAATTGTTACAAAAGGTCTGGAGGTCAATTGCGATTAATTACAATACTTCCGCTTGTAATTGTTCCGCTACTAATGAAGTGCGCGTGTCTAAAAAAAATACAGTGTCATATTGTGTTGTTTATAAAAAGAAAGTTGTGTTAATTCTAAAGTTTTATGGAGTAAATGAGCAAGAAATTTAACAGTAAAAGTTCAAAGCGCTCGTGCACATACATATATACATATATATGCTATACATTTATTGATTCTGATACAAATTGGCAATGCTATAGTACTTTTTTATCCACTCACTAACATTATTCAAGGCAGTCTATACAGTTTATAATTACCGTTGTTCTTAACTTGAGTTAGATTGCTTTCTTCAAAAAAAAAAAAAATAAAAAAATAACAATAATAAAAATAAATAATCGGTTTTATTGGACTCTAAAACACACATAATTTATTATTAAAGTATAAATAACTAATCGTTTAAAGTGGGTATGAGCACTCCCTTTGTACAGACGCTGATAAATCAAAGACCTTACGTCATAAGACAAGATTAGTCAAATTATTCCAAAAAATATTGTAAGAACAATAACCGCGTACAGATACAAAATTCGGTACAAGTATGTTTGTATGTTTGTATGTTTAAAGTGTGTGTGTGCTAAGATTAGGTTGCTATATTCTGCAATTTTAATATACAAACATCATACTTATACACACCTATGTATTTATGCAGCTTTGTGTGCGCACAAAAATTTACAATTTCGTTTAATGTTTGAGAAGGTCAGAGTCTATGTTGAGATTAGACGCGCCAATGTTTGCGAATTTAGCATAAATATAATTAAGTAAGTCTCACAATTACTTATGAGGCGATTTACTTGAAGGATGAGTTGAAAAGTATTCATAATCGCACATAAATGTCTGGATTCTTTTGTTTAAGAGATATACTATTTTTAATTTCTTGAACAGTGTATATTAAATTTGCCACGGAGTTCGTAACATACCATAATGTGATGATCAGCATTACGAGCTGTGTCGATTAAGCCATGTCCGTCTTACCTTTTGCACCAAGAAGCTACTCATTTGTCGGAACCGCTGAAATCGGACCAATATATTATATTGCTGTCATACAAACTGAACGATAATAATCAATTATTTATTATTGTCCAAAGTAACGTTATAATATCGGAAGAAAGTTTTCAGATCGCTCCATTATATTATATAGCTGACATACAAACTGAACGATCAACATCTTTTGTAACGTTAACTTTTTTCTTGTTTTATGGTAATATTGTGGAGTTTTCAATTTATTATTAATATTTTATCACCAAAATAAATCATGAATATTCCGCAAATATTTCTGGAGTGGGTGTTTAGCGGCATAGAGCCGGCTTTCCAGTTGATTGTATTATTTATCAAGTATAGCAGCTGCTATATATATATTTTATTGTTATCAGTGCGCTGGCACGCTCAAACAAAGACTTGCACACAATACTATCAGACAATATGTATGAATTCGTATTTTGCCAATTATACCAAAACATACATGTTTCAAAAATAAAAATTTTCAAGCCCCACACAGCATTTCTTTGGTTTACTGATAAGGAAATTTTTTATATGTACATATATACATACTTGTAGTAAATATATGTATATACATAATTACATATACAGACTTACTTAAATGTATTCTTAAACGGGCTGTAGTCACTTCATTATTTGCTAATAAATTCAGACATACTTGTAGAAACATTAAAATGAATTTAATATACAAAATCATTTAATTTTTGGGTGTATTGTGTGTAGAGATATACACTGCGCATCAGATTAACGCTCGCCTTTCGTTCAATTTTAACTGCTCTTAAATATTTTTCTAAGAAGAAAATTCTTAATTATTGTTTTTGCTTCTAAATTGACAGACTCTCTCTCTCTCTCTCGCTCTCTCTCTCTAACAGTAAAATAGAGCTTATGGGAGGTACCGTTATATATTTATTATTGTTTTTTTTTTATATTCGATGAGAAAGCATACACGTGTTTGCATCATCAGATTAGCGCTCCCAAATACGATTTGAAATATCTCGGGGAGTTTTTCAACTACGGTCACCAAATTTTTTCTAGTACATAATTAAATAATTTTCTTCAAATTGGTGTATAATATAGGAAAATGAATTGTTTGTCAAAATCGAGGCGTTTCATGAGTGTGGATTGTCTTTGCATAATATTAAACAAAAAACTGGTGTTAAAGTCAGCAAATGAAATATTCAAAGGATGATTAAGAAAGCTAAATGTATAAAAAGGCAGGAGAAGAAGAAGAAGAAAAAAATCACCACTTAACAAGTTGCGAAAAGAAATTTGCCTAAGTATTGGCCGAACACACATGACTTGATCTAAGGAGTGGCCTTATGTCGTATTTTTTGATGAGAAGAAATTGAGGAGCATTATTTGGATCGCTTACACAGTCGGATCGTTGGCGCGATGGTATGGGGAGCCAGATCCTATTACGGCAGCTGCGAATTGCAGTTTTTAACGCCAAAAATTAACGCATATAAGTGCGGTCTAAAAACTACATTTCCCTTCTGTTTTTTTAAATATATTTGGCAATCTAAATTCGCATTTCCAGCACGACAATGCGCCAATTTATACCGCTTGGTCTATAGAACTTTGGATACAAAGTCAAAATGTCGATAGAGAACGTCTGGGGATGAATCGTATTGTGTCCTCCTATAAGTTCATTTTGAGGTATATTGTTAGAAAAAAGTGTGTAGCTCCGGCTCAAGTATGCTTAGGCGGGCGCTAATCTGATGACGCGCAGTGTATTTATGTGTATGTGTATGTATTTAAACGCTTATGGCGCCCAGCAGAATTACTTGGCTTGAGATGCAAGCATAGCTACGAAAACAATATTTACACAAATATACACAAAATTATATATAAACAATATATACTATTTACACGCATACATTTATATATGGAACGAATTAATTAATTAACGAGCTACAGATTTTAGTCAGTTATTAAATGACAACGCTTTAAGATGCACATTAAATGTTTGCTTTTGTTTATAACGGTTCTGTTTGCAGCTGATGTAAGTGCATTTAACGATGCATTAATTGTAAATTTACCAAACGGTAGAATACGCGGACGCGATAATGACTACTACTACAGTTATGAATCGATTCCGTATGCAGAACCACCGCTCGGTCCATTACGATTTGAATCACCGCGTCCATACGTTAGAAATTGGAACGACACATTTGATGCGACCCGTGAGCCAATCGAATGCATGCAATGGGATCAATATAAATCTGGCGCCGATAAACTACACGGTGTCGAAGATTGTCTCACGGTGAATGTCTATAAGCCAAAGTTGCCAGCCGTTGCAGATGTAGAAAGCGGAATCCCGGTGGTGGTGCTTATACACGGCGGTGCCTTTATGTTCGGTTCAGTGCGTGCTAATGGTCATGAGAATTTTATGCGTAACGGACGTGTAATAGTTGTGAAAATGGGTTATCGCTTGGGTCCTTTGGGTTTTCTTAGTACTGCAGATACCGTTATATCGGGTAATTTCGGTATGAAGGATCAACGTTTGGCGCTGCAATGGATCAAGACGAATATCGCACGTTTTGGTGGTGATCCTACACGTATTACGGTATTGGGTTTCTCTTCAGGTGGCGTTGCCGTACATTTACACATTCTGGCACAACGAAATTTTACAGAATATGCTAAAGTGGCCGTATCCTTTAGTGGTGTCGCCTTCAATCCGTGGGCGATAACGCTTAAGACACGCGAGCGCGCCTTTGAATTGGCGAAACACCTGAACTGTCCAGACGTCAGCAGCGCACAGCTGATTAAAGACTGCCTGCAGCGTAAACCGGCCGCGGCGATTGTACGCGGTGTACGAAATTTTCTTGTCTTCGGTTATAATCCATTCACCACTTTTGGGCCTAGCATTGAAGATGCCGCTGTTGAGGATGCATTTTTGACGCGCTCACCTCAGCAGATAGTGGAATCAGGTGATTTTGCCCAATTACCTTGGCTAGTGTCGTATGCAGCACAGGATGGCGCTTTTAATGCTGCGGAGCTATTGCAACGTATGCCACGTAGAGAGGAGTTGATTGAAGTATTTAACGATCGGTGGTATGATTTGGCGCCATATAACTTGTTCTATAAGGACACTATGCATACTGTAGAACAAATGGATGATTATTCGGTAGCGTTGAAACGTCGCTACCTAGGGGAGAAGGAATTCTCCATTGACACTTATTCGAATGTGCAACGCATGTACACGGATGTTCTCTTCCGGAATGGAGTGGAGCAAGCGATACGTCTGCAGCGACAACATTCAAGTTGTCCAATTTATGCATATGTTTATGATAATCCAGCGGAGGAGGGTATAGGGGAAGCATTATCACACCGCAAGGATGTGAAAATGGGTGAGTAAAAATTAAACCAATCTTTTCTTTTCCCATATTTACTTATTTATATTAAACTTTTCACTTCATAGGTACTGTGCATGGAGACGACTTCTTTTTAATTTTCAATAGAGTTGGAAGAACTAAAATACGCGCCGATGAACAAATAATATCGCAGAAATTTGTTAGAATGTTGGAAAATTTCACAGCAAAGAGGTAAAACAAAAAAAAACCATACTTTCGTTTGCATCGAAGCTATAATAACCTTCACAGATGAAAAAGTTTTTCAAGAACTTGCTTTTGATCGGTCGGCTTATATGACAGCTATATGCTATAGTGGTTCGATCTGAACAATTTGTTCGGAAATTGAACCATTGCCATGGACAGTAATCCTTGCCAAATTTTGTAAAGATATCTCGTCAAATAAATAAGTTTACGATGCACGGACTTGATTTGATACCATAGTTTGTATGGTATCTATACGCTATAGTGATCCGATCTGAACAATTTCTTTAGTGATTGTATCTTTGCCTTGAATAATAATATGTGCGAAATTTCGGGAAGATATCTTGTAAAATGAAAGAGTTATCCATACAAGAATTTGATTTATATAGCTATAAACTATAGTGGTCCGATATCGCGAGTTCCGATAAAATACCAGCTTCTTTGGCAGAAAAGGACGTGTGCAAAATTTCATATCGGTATCTCTAAAACTGAGGCCGTAAATCGACTTAGCTCGTAACGCTGATCATTTATATACATTATGCTATATAGTGCCTCCGATATTTCCCCTGGGTGTTACAAACTTCGTTGCAAACTTAAAATATTCTGTTCATATTAATAAAATGATAAAAATTGTGATTTATAATTTTTTTTTAACATTTTACATTTTTTTCCCTTTTTAGTGATGAATTAAGTTTTGGTGATTGCAAATTTGTCGACAATGTTGGGAAAGAGGAGTATCAGCTAATGTTTATTACAAATGATACATGTATTAATAAGGCTATTTTAACACTGCCATCCTTTTAAAAAATATAAACAGATTTTTATTGTACACATAATATTTATTATTATTCTTCAGTATTGCCATATAAATCAATTTTACTGTCTAAGAAACGGAAATCATTTAAAATATGTAACTTATTGCTATAGCCCGCAATGGACATGAATTTTATGGGCTCCAACTGCCATACAGCTGAATAAGCTGCGGTATGTTCTAACGGTATATTTGCTTGTATGTCACCGTTCATCGCATAAAACTGTGCATGACTGTGTTCACCGGCCACGAAGAGGTTTTCCTCGACGAAATCGCAGACATGCACCTTACCTGGAAACTCGAAGTCACGCATACACTCCATAGTTCCCAAATGCCAAATAGAAAACTTTGGTCCCCCGCCACAAATGAGCCAATCATCGTTGGTAGCTACCGCTCCTATCCATTTTCCATATTCCGGACGCATTAGTTGTACATTTGCACTTGGTTCTAATTTTGCGGTTGCCTCTTTTTGTTGCTCACTCCAAAAGCATACCGTGCCATCTTCGGAAGCTGAAAAGATGCGACCTCTGTCGCTACCGGCTACACCATGTATATAATCAGTATGACCTCGATAGTCGCGTACAATGTGCCCATCTTCCAAATTGATTTGATAAATTATATTATCACCACAACCCGCATACAGTGTGTCGGTGCCGGCACGTAGCCATAAGAAATTTACATCGGGAACCTCAACGGCATCCACGTCCAGCGGTATTTTCACTTCCCATTTACGTGTAGTGCTTAGTTCTCGCTTTTCTTCGTTCCAAGATAGACCGTACACAACACCGATGGCGCCCACAATAAGAAAATCGCGATGACAACAGAGGCTGTTAATCTCCGTTTGACTGGGCTGCGGGAAGACAAATACTTTAGACCTTGGGGTATCTGTTTTTTCTAGGTCGTGTAAACTTAAATTGAAATAAAGCAATTTATTAGAAAAATAGCATGGGTTTAAATTTTTTAATCACTTACTCTTGAACAAATATATCTCCAAAGCGGTTACCGGCGAACAAAAAACGGCCAGATTCTGAAATGGCTTGTGATATCACATTATTGTACGTAATCTTTAGCTTTAAATCTTTCATCTTGGTTTCACAATTTATAATATTGTTGTAAGAAAATACACTCACTAAAATAACGCGGTTTGATTTTTGCCGGTTGTTGATTAAAAACAAGTAAATAATTCCCTTTGACCAGCTGTTTTGGATTTGCTTAGACAGCATTGCCATTACAATCTTTTTTTGGGAAAAGTGCTGTCATTACCTGCTATGCTATCGAAAAAGCGATAACTTTAAGGAAAAAACTTTGGGGAAGAGTAAACAATTAAAACAAGCTTGGGAATTTCGTATATCGAAATTATATTTTAATCATTGACATGTATTTGACAATAGAAACTGTATTTCCATTATTTTATCTTTTTTTGTATTGTCAACCTTGTTGTTACGGTATTTATGTAAGTAATGAATACCCACATCCTGTTGTCTTCAAGCAGTTGAAGCAACAGCTGTTGTTTGTTTACATTTTTGAATTAATCGCTTTCAAATTGATTCGGTAGAATTTGCCGGTGCCTGCATTTATTTATTTTTTTTTTTTGATAATGTGCGGAAAAGAAAGTATTTGACGATTGTGCGATTTTATTGATATTAAATTTATTTAAAAAAATAAAATATTGATTTAACAGTCGCGTAAACATGAAATAATTTTGCATGCACGGAACTGAAAAGTGATATGATTAACGGCAATATTAGTTTTGCGAAATTAAAACTCAAAGCTTTATAAAGTATAAATCAATGTTTAAACCAAAAACTACATGTGGACTGAGGCATTAACAATGTCACTTGTTAGGACTTGTTTAATTTTTTCACCGCTTATGTAAGTACTTAATTATTTTTCTATAAAAGTCCATGTTTATGTAATATACAGTGTATATATCTGTATTTGAACCTTAGAACAGAACCCACATAACACATTTCCAACATTGTAATGTGTTATTTCTAGCATGTATTACACTTTTATTATAAGTTTAGATCTGCGACCACAGCTTGTATAAAACGTTTGTACTACATTTCAATGGGCTGACCGATATACATACATACATAAATTTGGTTTTTGCATTAATTAAAATATTATTATTTAACATTTCTGCTTAAAATAGCTTTAATTTGTTGAATCGCTACCAGTAAGGAAAAGTAATTTATCTAAAAGTTTCGGCTAGAAATTCCAAACAGTATTCAATTCAATTGGTTAATTAGAAAGCTATTTCAGGCTTTAATAAATATAATTCAATACAAATGAGTAGCTGCAATTAATTTATTAATGCTAATAACTAATCTGTTTTCATTTCAGTCGAACAAACAAACAGATTTTAAACTGATTTATGTCCATAGTGAACTGCGCCAAGAACATTTAAAATTTAGACATTGAATTAATAATAACAGATCCGAGCAAAATAGACAAAACAAGAAGATAATTTATGCAGAATGCAAATAAATTAGTATGAACATTTGTAAGGATGTGTAAATGCTTAGCCATTAGCAGTTAGCAATTAGATGAAAATACTAAATAAATTTAATAATTTTAACTAAGCAGCGACTTTACATAAAGTTTATTATTACTATTATATTATATTAGATCTGTAGAAGTTTGGGTTATCAAAACAAGGTTATTAGCGCATTTTTATATAAGTACTTTAACCAATTCAAACATAAAAGCACTTTTCTTAGGTGAGCAACGGAGTACAGGAGAGAAAATACGATATAAAATGAAAACTACTCATATTTAAATGGAATTTAACTTTTGGTTATAAATTGGTTATATCTGATAGGTGACGATACACACAGATATTTGTGTAAAAATATACATATATATGAATGCATATTGTAAATAAAAGTAGTAATAATTAAAAAAAAGAAATTTGAATGACGTGAATTGAGTACCATTGATTATGTAAACATTTTTTTGCATCTGTCAGATCTCCTCGATTTGCTTTCGGTACAGGTATATTGGGAATATTTTTGAATGGAGGGATGAAGGCACCAATTCCAAAACATATACAGTTCGATCCCATTCCATAAACATTTAAAGACCACGCCTAGTGTTAATTTTTTTTGTCAAAATACATACAGTTGCGGTCAAATTCTTAGTAGTGCTGGGCACTCGTTTAATATTATATTATATATGCGATCAAACTTTTTTATTAGATATTTTTTTTGGAATTCACTTTAAAAACCCTTAGCGTCAGAAGTTGAAATGAAAACATGCAATGACTTGCTTCACTTAGCTTGATGTTTTTGTTACAATTGCAAGACTTTTATTTGCAAAGCGTTTTGGGTATGTCAAAATCTTAGTAGAAAGAAGTGTTTGAAAAATTAAAAATATCTGAAAATATTTGTGAAAATTCAAGAATAACGATAGATTCATTCATTCATTCAACTTTATATAAATATGATATGTGACAGAAAAAAAAAATATGGCAGGGCTAGATAAATAAATACTTGAATATAGAGGTATGCACTGCGATCTGAAGTCTGTCGTGCCCTTCCCTTTTTTATAAAGATTCATATATGTAGGTCTGACAAATTCTAGGATCCGGTACCGTGGTCCGAACTCGGATATATTATATGAATCCTAGGGTCTTATTTCTGCGTCTGCAAAAGCTGCGCAATCTTTAGGCAGTCACCTCGGAGTTTCTGGCTTCATGCCATAGAACCGATAACTTGCAGAAGAGATAATACCCATTTTCGGTAGGTGCCTTTTGAGTCTGCAGTGACCACTATTTATTGTCAGTAGCCAAAATTTATCCATAAGAATATTTATAATTTGATTAAACCTTTTAAGATAATATCCTGGAAGTATCAGTTTTGCCTGACCCATGCCGGAAGTTTGTTATCATTTGCCGCTCTTCTGGATTCTGCAAAACCCACTTTTTACTATGGCGTCCCATCCCGATAAAGGGTTATCGTAACAGCAACTCAGTAGCCGTTGTGAAATCAAGTTCATCAGCCAGTTGAACTTAGTGTAGTTAGTATCCCAAATATTCAAACGAACTAACGAACTGAATTTAGTAAATTCATTATATTAATGCTTGCATCTCTTTATAATTAAAAGATATCTTTCACTCCAATAAAAAATCTATATAAAATCATCCTAAATAAACAAATTGTAGGCTGTTTGATTATCTTCGTAATATTCTGCCCTAAAGTGAACCCGTATGCTAAGTTTTAGTAATTCACTTCATGTGTGACTGATTTGTAGCACTTATTTCAATAAAACCGGGTTGTGCAGGGCAATAGACCAATTCAGTCCACCTATATGCAATTCTACCTATTCAGAGTGTCAACACACATATGTGTGTACCAAGTTTCATAAAGATGTCTTTACTTTTAAATAAAGCGGAAAGGAATACAGCAACCATATTACGTAAAGAAATCGTTTGTTAAATCTAAAAATAAAGCAATCCTAATACCACATTACTGCATATCATTTCATTGCCTCAACTTTTAAATATATCGCTGTTTAGAAGTAACAAGAAGACAGTCTTCATTTGCTGACCTTATACAATATTTTCGGTTTAGTTAACGGCGGAAGCATATTGCTTTAGCTTAAACGAAGCTATAATCGTAACTACAACTGACGATTCCTACAATTTTTGATAGCTATGAAGGGCAATGGAATTTCTTCGAGAATAATTTTTTCGCAAAAATATATGCTTAATTGCCTCGTTGCCTGCTAAAAGGGGAAAACTTTGTGAGCAAATAACATTTAGAAGAACAACGGTCAATGCTTCGTAATTTTCCAAAGGAACAATATAATTAATATTAATTAAAATATGCGATTATTGGCATGCTCTTCAAGCCCTGCGCTACGTGTGCTTGCAGTTAGTGTGAACTCCAATCTCGCAATTCCCGACCTGTTTTGTTACATTTACAGTTGTTTGTGACATTTACAGTTGAATCGGGCATGTGCTGTCATATTTGAACTCATAATGTGACGTAGCAAAAATTGCAAATTCGATAACAACAGAAAGGTTATTAAACTGGATCAACTTGTAAGTTCTGCCATGCGTATGTAACTGAAAAACCGACTACTGGATAATCGGTCGCACGTGACTAATGTGTTCGCGATGTAGTCTCTTGCGGATATTGCACCCGAATGGGTAATTTTGTTTGTTTTCCAATCGTACCGCAATTATCAGATTAATGCTATGCATTCATGATTTTAACGCTTTCGCCGAGAAATGCAAAACCGGTTACATTTAATTAATGCCTAAAATGTTTTGGAATTTTTTGCGCAAATTAATTATTGTACATTATACTCGCCCATTAGATTGGATTTTATGGTGAGCTTTTAATTAAATTTGCAACAACAAACACAACAAGTGATAACCGTTTTAAAGTATGTATGTATGTGTACGTTTTGCTTACTCAAAATTGATATTTTAATTTTTACAAGCGCTCGATTCAAATCAGATGATTTGCAAAAATAGCAATTGGATATTAACTTTGCTATGATTTTTCGCTGTAAACGACATTAAATCCGTTGTTTACAACTCATTCTGACAAAGCCAACTCAACCAGTTCTAAATATTACATACGAGCACTTCAATTGATGTTGGCTATAATTTTTAATTTGCATTTTTGCGTATAAAAATTTCGTAGAAAATATTTTGAAACTCTTTTTTCCAAACATACAGTTACTGCCAATAAAATAGAATCAAATAGTTGATTCCGCAATAATTAACAATCTTTATTATTTGTAATCGATTCCTACAATATTTGTCTTTTAAAACACCATGATGGTAACTCTGTTACATTTTACTGTTATCTTTGTGTTCAAATAAAAAAAAAAGTGCTTTTGTCGTCGTGTATCTGAAGGATATTTATTAAAACTTGACATTTTGTATAATCAGGTATTATTTGTAGAAGAAATGTGCCCAAAAAAGCAGTACACAGCGGCTGAGCGTAAGCAAAATAGCGGTTATACCCAAAGGATAACCGCAAAAATTATAAAAAGATCCCAAAAATTTGTGTTTAGTGCTGTGAAACCTCAAAAAAATGTGAATTGACAAATTTGTGCGGTATGATTCTTGGTCAGATAAATTGAAAATAAATATGATAGGTAGCGATAGAAATGTTTGATAATGACCCGAAGCATACCTCGGGTGTGGTCAAGACTTGGCTACAGTATCAAGGAATCGATATTATGACTTGGCCGGCGCAATTTCCGTATTTAAATCTTATAGAAAACCTATGGAAGATTGTAAAGGAAAAGTTGGGATCCATTAAACCACGAAATAGGGAGGAACTATGGGAAAAACTTCAACAGGCGTGGTATTCAATACCGCATTCAGTTTATAAGGCTATAGTGTAATCTATGCCTAAAAGGTGCTTTGCAGTACTCGCAAAGAAGGGGTTGCAACAAAATTCTACTGAATACTGATCTTCCATTTACGAGTTTTGGTTCCATTATTATATTTTATTGGTAATTCAAGTTCCTGACAGTTCCTTTAATAGTTGTCTGCTGATAATACTTAAATTTAAATTGAATTATATTTGCTTCTGAAATGTTTAAAATATATTTTATTAGCTATACAAAACAATTGTTTCCTCCTAAGAACTGTGGTAACACTTCTTTTTAGCAAATAGTTGTGAATCAAATGATGCTACTATTTTATTGTCAGTAACTGTACATACTTGTACATATATAGCAATATGCAATGAATATTTTTTTATACAAAATTCTTTGCTTACTCATCAACTAGTTTGTTGTTCACATCAATATTGAGATCATTTTTGTTTTTATCGTCTTTTTTACTATTTACTTCGAAATGCATATTTTTTCTAACGTTTTTTCTTTTCATTTGCTCAATATTTAAGAAGTAAGGAAGGACTTAGTTCGGGTGTAAGCGAATATTTTGGATAAATGGAAAATGAGAAAAAAAAATGGCCTTGGAAAATAATTCACGCTATATTTGGTGAAAATATCTTGTTAAATAAAATTTCAACCGTTCAAAAATATTGTTTGTATATAAATTTATGCTATATCGGATCGATCTAAACTATTTCGTTTGAATTTGTACCCTTGCCTTGAAAAATAATCTATGCCTAGTTTCTTAAATAAAAAAAAAATTTCATACAATGCCTTCATTTTGATCGATAAGTTTATATGGTAGCTATTTGCTATAGTAGTCCAATATCAACGGTTTCGACAAATGAGCAAGTTCTTGAGTAGAAAAGGTTTTCAGATGATTATCTCAAAAACTAAGGAACTAGTTCGAGTCAATACAATCATGCCAACGCTCGTCATAAGCCTCGTTTTTTCGGTTTCGGCTCATTTTTGGAATGCCATTCGCTAGAAAGTTGGACAGTTTCGACGCTATACTCATAAACTCAGGTCTTGTCAGCAACTCTTTTGCGACCTTTTGCTACTCGTGGCCGTTTTTGCCAAATATTCAATTCTTTTGGCACGAGTCTAGCACATACATACTTATTGGTAAAACACGTTATGATTAAGTACGATGTTTTCATTATTATATACTTGCATGTATCTTTCATGGCTAAAACGATAATTTAGTTTTTAATAGTAGCTCATCCTTGCT